GGGGGGGGGGGGGGCAGTTCATTAAAGTAAGCAACACTTCCAACAACGCACTGTGTCATGTCTTATTTGAATGCTGTACCAAGAATTGCTGCCTTCACTAGAAGAAAGTCCGGCCTCTGCCCAATTAAAAGTATAAGGCAAGAGCAGCAAAACACTGGGCTACAAATGAAATCATTCTACCCCATCTCCTAAGTCACACATGGCAACCAAACTTGTTGGTCCTGGAAGATGTAAGCCACCGGTTGGGATTTATATGTGTTTGCCCCAACTGGAAGACCATCTATGAGCCCGTTGGAGTTTTTGGCATTCAGAGAAGAGGCACACAGTGTATGGCCCACCATTAGTTGTATTTAATCTAAATTAAATTTAGTTTCTTCAGGTTCTAGCCATTTCTTTGTCCTGGCCCACTTTCCAAGACTGAACTCTTCAAAAGGTGAAATATACGCAGGACTATTCATAATTTTTTTAAATACTTGTTTTTCCAGTCTCTTGATAGTCTTGGGAAAATATTCTGCAGTGAACAATCACAAATTCCATGTCAAACAGAAAGTGGCCACAATGGCAGCTGGTAGGGGATTTGCACCCCAATACATTTTGTTTTTTCCCCACCTCTGTGTAACATCCCTGCAAGTCCTTGAAATCTGATTGTTGGATTTATATCCCATCTTTCCTCTAAGAGCTTACATTGACTTACATGGGAATCTCACTTCATTTTACCTCCACAACCACCAACCAGCGAGGAGGATTCAATGGGAGGGTGACTGGCCCAAGATAGGGACATTTGCTCCTCTAGTTTTCTGCCAGATATGGATACAGGTTCAGCTAGATCATCAGCAAGCAACTTCAGCCTTGGAGGCCAACCATCTGGGCCTCAAGATCTCATTCAAGATCAGTACGTATTTCTTGATGTTCCTCTCCAACTAAGATAGAATCCTGCTCTCTCAGCCAGTTCGTCACAATTATCAAGTGGAATATACATATTCTTTGCTCAGAGATGACCGAGTCAAAGTAGTTGAGAAATTCTGCCTTTACTTTGGTACCTGTTACGCTTTTACCATCTTCACTAAGGAGGATATCTAGCAATTCTTTTATCTTGAACATATGTGAAGCTTTTGGAACATTCTTGGCCTCTTCACCAATCTTGACTCATCCTGAGCTTTGGCTTTCTAGATAAACATCCCATGGCAAATCAACTATGAGAAAAATTTGTTCATAAGGAAATATGTTTATAGTTTGTGTTCACATTAGGCTGTATGGGTCTGCAAAGCATTCAGAATGGTATTCAGTGCAGCACAGTGGCATGAATTTATTATTTCTTTAAATGTATTAGCTGCCCACCTTCAATGGACTCCTACTTGAAATACTAAGGAAGTCTTCATCCATGTGGGTGTGCATAGTAGCTTCACTGTGATAGAGATACAACATTCTGCTATAATGCATGGTTTGTAATATGAAGGATCAAGAGTCCAACATTAATTCTTTATAGTGCCAATAAAGGAAAATATATGAAATAAGAGACATATTACAAACTGTTTAAACTAAGTGTGTGAGGCTGCACCATTAAATATATAAACCAAGAAATAGGTATGTAGGAAGGCAGGAATTTGTTCTTGAAATTCAGCTGCTCTAAAGAACAATCTTCAGGCATGGGATAGCTAAAAAGACTGGCAAGCAACAATTTTTAAAAAAATATTTCCTAATATACTAATTACATTTGTGTAATCTGTTGAGTATAATAAAAGTTTGCAAATCAAGTCAATAATTTTTTTCTGCATAATATTTAGCAACATTTGCCTAGTTTCACAAAGATATTTAACACTGTATTTCAAGATGCTTGTGAATTATGCTACATAATCATTAACTCTGTAGTTCCCAATTATTCTACAACAAATATGAACAGATACAACAGTTCCAGAATGGATGTTTCAACCACATCAAAATTTTATTTATTGTAAATAATAAAAGATATTTTCAACTAGTCAGCAAGTTATATCAGAGGTCAAACTCTCCAGAACACACTCCAAGTCATAAATCATCAACAATTTCTTTTACTTATCAACAACAGTAGGAAACACTGATAGACAGATCATCACCCACCTCACGTCTTTTCAAACCACCATGGAACTAAGGGCCAGCCTACCCAGATTTACAAATCTAAATAGTCGCTTGAGAGATAATAATTGACCTCAAAAGCATCAGATTTGTGACCTTCATCAGAACTGAGCTGCACGGATTAGATTGTATTTTGCAAATACTTTAGGGATCAAGGTATTATGAATTAGCTCTTAGTGTCATTCAGAAAGTACAAAAACATTTGCTTGAAAAAAATAGCAGGTTTCTCTCCTTCACGAAAGAAATGTCCTCACTGTACCCTTGATGGTTCCTCTGCAAATAGGGCATTTCCTAAGGGAAGGGGCACATTCTTTGCAAACAACTAAATGGCCACATGGAATGAAGACAATGGATACTTCCTTGTCCATGCAGACTTTGCACGTTCTCTCCTCCTGCAATCGTCTCAGCTGTTCTTCCATAGGTAAGCCTGCAATTAAAGGTTCTATTGTATATGAAAAAATAACATTTTGAACTACGCTTTAGTTTAATTGTAAGAAGAAATGCATTCCTGACTTCCCTGCCATTCATAACCCCTCTCTTCCTAAATCCATCAACTTATGCTGAGATATTCTAATGAAGAATCTTCCATTTTAGCGCCAGAGATTCCCTAGTCCGCGTGCTTCTATCCTTATCAAACTAAATTTCAAAATACTCAAAATAGTAGTCCATGTCAGTTTCCTAAGTATTCACTCATACTCCCAATTTGAGCTATTTCACCTTAGGCTGTTTTCTTAAAAATACTGCAATCCTTATATTCCAAATGCATCTGTTTATGTAGTAAATTAAGTATTTACCTGAAACATCTTCCGTTGGAATGTATGTCATATTCTTCTCCACTAAGGAAAATAAGTTAAATACTGTTAGACCAAATAATAAATTATCTTGAATTCATCAGAATGCAGATAAACTCTAACACCTCTGCTTAAGAACCATTAACATAACAGCATATTGCTTTTGGAATGTCTAATCAACAGAATTTCCTCTGCATTAGTTTATATAAGAGGAAGAAAACTGTTAGTAACCTATAAAAACTCATAAATCTATTACAGTTGTGAATTGCAACAGACTAAAGTTACTACTCCTCAAGAAAATGACAATTCAAAGCAAATTCAAAGCATTTTTCTAGGAAACTCACCGAACAAATCCTTGTATAATGCAGGATCACATTCTTGTAAACAGTTTTTGAATATGTCTGCTGCAGCATTTCCTTTCACCAAAATGGTATCAATCAGTTCTCTAGCTTGCAAGGATGTCTGGGTTTTTTGTTTAATAACTTGGTGTTCAAAGTCACTTATTACTTTGGAACTTAATAAACTTTCCAAGATAGGGAGCGTGCATGTCAAGCGCTGAAATAATGCCATTCGATTCTTTCTGATTAAGGCCAGATCTGAAATACAATAAATGAAAAGATGACACAGTGTAAACTCATTTTTTAGCAGTCTTAGCAGAAAATTTGAGTAAAGATGGAAATTTCCCACGGTTCCGAACTCTTCCAGGGAAAGGGTCGGATGGAGGCAGAGACAGAATATAATGCAATACAGGTCGTCCCCAGTTTAAGAACGAGTTCCGTTCCCAAGATCTGTCCTCAATTCGAATTTTTATATAAGCCGGAACAGTATTATTGTATAATACTGTATAAGTAGTATTGTGTAATTAACTCGAACCATCATATATTTAACTTGAATCATTGGGTATTTAACTTGAATTTTGCTACAAAAGGCTTCATTCTTAACTATGGGTAATCCTTAAACCAGGTATACTTAACCTAGGGACTACCTGTATTACTTTCTTACCTGATAAAAGCTACAGTTTTCCAGTTTCACAGAATCCAAAAGATCTACTACCTTTGTTGAAAGGAACTTTTTAAAAACATTTTTAAACTCAGACATCAATCTACTTTAAGAAATGAATCATACTATGCATAAATTAGCATAATAGTATAGCATTTAGTATGCTGGTGAAACTGACAAATATGAGTAACTTTATCAATACATTAAATAACTACATCCAACCACAGGATGGCACTAATTACTTTCAACTTTTATACAAATTAATTACTGCAAGTTTTGTCAACAGCAGTGTTTCACCACCCTCCCCCATTAGCTTATACCCCTATATTGGCTCTACTGCACATAGACAATAAAACCTTATAACATCCCAAGTTGGCTTGAGAAGGTATTTTGCCCTTTGTTATGAAAAATGGCCTTGTTTTCAGTCATCACAAAACTATAACAAGTCTGTTGTCAAGATGCTCTATTGTATGCGGTAAGTGCTAAAAAACTGACAGCATCAATATTAATCAGGCTGACTCCTTTAAAGGTTCTGTGGTTTCTTTCTCTGCCCTAACATCCTGGAAAGAACACACAGGATGAGTCTAGAAAGTTTCACAAATACTATTTTGCTTTGAGAGTCGCAATGGTAAGAAACATGTCCAGGCAGCTATTAAAATCTACAGGACAAAGTCTTGAGCTACCTCATTTATGGCATGCAGATTTGTAAATACAGTAACAAGGCTCCTTTTTAAATTATGCAATCAAAATTCTTAGAGGATTTGCTAAGTATGCTCCACTGTACATTCAACTCCCTGCTAAGTTTGGAGTCTGATCTGATCTCTGCTGAGGCTCACCTAAAACACTGGCTTAATCTATGTTGAGGGTCCTTTAGCTTCCCTGGCTCTCCCGTCTTCATGGCTAAATAGTTAATTTGGAATAAAAATGTTGTGGCCTTTCCACTCAGTTATCTGAGCTCATTAGGATCTGAAAATGCCCCATCTAAGGTGAAATAGAAGGTCTTTGACTTAGAGCTGCAGAAATATCTCTGTTCCAGTTCCAAACTGAATTGTTCTGGTTTATTTAGCAGACCTTTTTTCAACCTAACTACTAACATCCTATGCCCAAAGCATAGGATTGCTTTCAACTTGGCTAGGTAGGACATGTTGCCATCAGTAAAATTAGGAGGAAAATTCAACAATTCTCCTCTGGAGAACATTGCTGTCCCTGTTCACTAGGGACTTCATCATTGGCTTATTGACTAAAAGGAAGAGAACAGAGTCTTCCTCTTCTGAATTTCTACAAAAAATGTACCATTAGGTCTTTATGCCAAAATGAATAGAAGGGACAGTAAAGTGTATTACAAATTGATTGAACTTTCTCCAGTAAACAGGGATAGCTTATTTAGAACACTATTTCCAGTTCAGGACATTTTTAAGAAGAATGAAAATAAACTACAATGTGTTCAGAAGTGGGCAACCAAAATGGTCAATTTCCCTATATGGATAACAATTGGTTATATTCAGCCTGGAAAAGAGAAGATTGAGAGAAATAAGATAGTAGTTTTCAAATGACTGAAGGATTATAATAGAGAAAAAGGCAAACTCTGGGTTTCTACTATACTTTCACAATCCTACTGGGCTTACAGCAGAAACAGGTTTTAGCTGAATAAGGAACATTTCTGGGTAGAAAGAACAGACAATAGAACCAAATATTGTTTTTTCTAGAGGTTGTTTCTATAGAATTAGAGGCTAAACAACAATCTATTAGGATATTCTAGTTCTGGGTTTCTTGAACTGATAATAGGATTGAATTAGACCATTCCAACGAAGAATAACTCAAGGACAAATATTTCCACAAAAGGTATTTTGAGAAGGGGTCTTTCTCAGTAAAACTATCATACAGCAGGAAGAGCAACAATCAATTCATCAAATTGATGCAATGGAACTTTTATATACCTGATGTTATTTTCTCTGATGGATCCTCCTTCTCCTCTTCCTTCTTCTCATCTTCTGCAGTAATAAGGTCAGACACAAGATCATTTACTGTTTTATAATTCTCCCCCGACGTTAAGATTTTACTCTGAACAGTTTGCTTGACCAGTCTTCTGCTGAATCCCATCTCCAAAACAGCTTCAACCATGGGTGTTTTCATTATGATTGCATCTTCTGACGCATTCTCACCAGGTTCAAAACGAATGACTATTCAGAGAAAACATAGCATTATTTATTATTTTTATTTATTATTATTTACCCAGTTATACATTTCCATCCCGGGCGACTTGAGAGATGCTGTAACCACCCTTTCCCGATGCCTGAAGGCTGTGGGGTTCTGAATGGGGTACAACAGGCTTCAGCTGAACCCTGGTAAGACAGAGTGGCTATGGATTGAAGGTCCCTCTATATCTGGGGGTATACCATCTTGGTTCTGGATGGGGTTGCACTACCCCAGACAGACCCAGTGTGTAATCTGGGGATCCTTCTGGACTCAGTCATGGTCAGGAAGGCCTTAGTCATGGCCACGAAGGTCTTTGCTCAACTTTGTGTTGTGCATCAATTGCGCCACTTCCTGGATCAGGAGGCCCTCCAGTCAGTCACTCAAGCACTGGTCATCTCTCATTTAGACTATTGCAATGCGCTATACATGGGGCTGCCCTTGAAGATTATCCAGAAGCTACAGCTGGTTCAAAATGCGGCCACACAGGCAATTTTGGGTGCCCCAAGGATGGCACATGTAACACCTTTGCTGTAGGAGCTGCATTGGGTGCCAGTTTGCTTCCGGGTCCAATTCAAGGTGTTGGTTATCACCTTTAAAGCCCTACATGACATAGGTCCAGGTTACCTAAGGGTCTGTCTCACCCCAACCACATCAACCTGTTGCACCCAGTCAACATGTAACACCTTTGCTGTAGGAGCTGCATTGGGTGCCAGTTTGCTTCCGGGTCCAATTCAAGGTGTTGGTTATCACCTTTAAAGCCCTACATGACATAGGTCCAGGTTACCTAAGGGTCTGTCTCACCCCAACCACATCAACCTGTTGCACCCAGTCAGACAGAGAGGGCATGTTGCGGACCCTGTCGGCGAGAGAATGTTGACTGGCAGGGCCCGGCAGGAGAGCCTTCCCTGCTGTTGTCCCCGCCGTATGGAATATTCTCCCCCCAGAGGTGAGGGGCCTCCCAGGTTTTTCAGAAAGAACTGAAGACCTGGCTCTGCTGATTTGCATGGGGCGAGAGGAGATATAACCAATGCTGGAGGTGACTGGCACCTTGAAGATGCTCCCTGAGCCTAATAATTTTTAGTTTATCATCAATATCTTGGAAGATATTTATTATTTGTAGGAATATTGTCATATTGTATTTTAATTAATATTTATTCTTTTACTGTAAATCACCCAGAGTCCCTTCCAGTGAGAGAGGCGGTGGCAAATGTGAAATATAAATAAATTATTTAAAATATAACAGTATCTTATGGGATTCAAAATAATTAAACATAGACAAAGGAAAAAAATCACTTTTGCACTGGATTCCACATCTAAGACAGTGCAAATCCATGGCTTCTTTCCTTAAAAAGGCATAAGTATTCCAGCTGCATTTTTCAAACACAGAATTTGAATATGTGACTATATACAGATGCCATATCAAGCCTTCAGCCTATTCTCTACAGACTCATGTCAGTTTCATTAGTCCCACTGCTTGAAAAGGTCATAATTAGACAATAATGCATCAGATTCAAGCCTTATGTGCACTACTGAACTACAGAACTTGCTTTTAGAAGATCTAGACTCAGCCTCTTCCACAGATGAAAACTGCCCATCTTTTATCCAGAATAAATAGACAATTCATGATAATTTAGAAAAATATTGATAACATATTCACCACCAGAGGGCCTCAGTGATTTAAATACATATGGTTCTTCATATGTTGAGATTTTAAGCAGGCAGCTGAGGCAGGTTATTTTTCACTTATTTTTTGCATGTGTAATTTGATTGTATTGCAAAATTGTAATTTTTCTGGTTTAAGATTAAATTTGAATGGTCAGCTTCAGGAATTTTTGACTTAAAAACAATGACAAAGTCATCTTACTAACTTGGTAAAAATAACAAAACCTAATTGCCACAGACCATTAAGGATCAATGTGTTAACATTTGAGTGCTATGTTCTCATACCAGTTTTACAAATGCTATCAAAATACTGATAACAGTCACTTTGGTATAGTAGTTAAAGCACTGGGCTAGAAACCAGGAGACCTTACGTTCTAGTCCTGCCTTAGCCACAAAGCCATCTGGTTGACACTGGGCCAGTCATTCTCTCTCAGCCCTAGGAAGAAGGCAGCAATAGCAAACTACTTCCAAAAACTACTTGCCAAGAAAACTGCAGGGACTGGTCCAGGCAGTCACCAGGAGTCAACACTAACCCAAAGGCACAAAATAAATCAATCAAAATACTTACTTGGTGCTTCAGTAGTTTCATCTACAGGTGTATCTGCAGTGGATAACAACTACAACACACACAAAAAAAGATTCTTAGAAGGAAAATTTTGCTGTTTGAAAAGACACATGGTTCAGACAGTTTGCTAAGAGTAACACGTTTAACCAGTCTTTCCCAATATGATTCCTCCATATCAGTGTTGTCCAAACTTGGCCACTTTAAGATGAGTGGACTTCAACTCCCAGAATTCCCCAGCCAGCATGGCTTT